AGAAGTGTCCTGTAGGCAGGGAGGGGGTAGAAGTGCCCTGTAGGCAGGAAGGGGGTAGAAGTGCCCTGTAGGCAGGAAGGGGGTAGAAGTGCCCTGTAGGCAGGAAGGGGGTAGAAGTGCCCTGTAGGCAGGAAGGGGGTAGAAGGTCCTGGGCAGAAGTAGAAGTGTCCTGTAGGCAGGAAGGGGGTAGAAGTGCCCTGTAGGCAGGAAGGGGGTAGAAGTGCCCTGTAGGCAGGAAGGGGGTAGAAGTGCCCTGTAGGCAGGAAGGGGGTAGAAAGTGCCCTGTAGGCAGGAAGGGGGTAGAAGTGCCCTGTAGGCAGGAAGGGGGTAGAAGTGCCCTGTAGGCAGGAAGGGGGTAGAAGTGCCCTGTAGGCAGGAAGGGGGTAGAAGTGCCCTGTAGGCAGGAAGGGGGTAGAAGTGCCCTGTAGGCAGGGAGGGGGTAGAAGTGCCCTGTAGGCAGGGAGGGGGTAGAAGCGCCCGGTAGGCGAGGGGTTAAAGTGTAAATCAAATGCACTTATCCTTTAGGATGGTAAACTCAGCATTAAGTAAACTCTTTGGCCACATAGGAGTGGTAAGTGTTCACCGTAATATATTATTCCATTTTTGTATATGAAATGTGATGGAATGAGGGACATGAATGTTTTGTTCCACTCAGGACTGAAAACAAACAGTGCTGGTAATGAAGTTTGTCTTGAGGTGTTAGAGTTCACGCCTTTTACTGAACATTTTTCACCCAGGCAGGATATGACTTTTGCCGTTTAACCTTTTGGTCTCCAATTCCATAGGACACTCGGCAACCCTCAAAGCTGGGCCCCTTCTGATTCCAGAGCCTCCATTTTATGCAGCCAGAGTTTAGGATTTATGTGAAAAGGTCATTGACCAGATGACTGATTAGCAGGGACAGCTGATTAGTTCATAGGTTTTCCTGGAAGCAAACTGGCAAGGATAAAAGCCAACGTTATCCCTTCATTAGTTGGTAAGCAGCATAAAACAAGAAATGCTCACTCATTGGGGAGCAGATCAAAGTGCTTCACAACTTTCATACATTTCTCCAGTCTTTACTTTTACAATAATGAGGCAATACTTGCTTGAGAAACTCTCCTTACACTTTTATTTATGAGCTATACACAACTTTAATGTTTCATAAAGAATCCTGCGTGTAACAGGTCAGAATATCAGCCACAATTACAATAAAGTTTGCAACCCGCTGAGTGTATAAAAGCTGAAGAACCTCAAAGTTCTATTGGTTGTGAGGTCTGAGAGCTAAAATGGACGACGCTTCTGTCCCTGTTGTGGGGTCCCGGCAGGTTTCATTGACAGTTTGTACTGAGAATGTGCCTTGCGTTGGCTATGTGTATATCAGAATGACTACACAATACAATGTGCATAGATGACAATGTAAATTCCTGAACACTGCCTGAATGTGCTGCCTGCTTTATCATGTACAGCAGCGGGGCAAAAAAGTATTTAGTCAGCCACCAATTGTGCAAGTTCTCCCACTTACAAAGATGAGAGAGGGCCTGTAATTGGCATCATAGGTAGACCTCAACTATGAGAGACAAAATGAGAAAAACAAATCCAGACAATCACATTGGCTGATCTGGAAAGAATTTATTTTGCAAATTATGGTGGAAAAATAAGTATTTGGTCACCTACAAACAAGCAAGATTTCTGGCTCTCACAGACCTGTACCTTCTTCTTTAAGAGGCTCCTCTGTCCTGCACTCATTACCTGTATCAATGGGTACCTGTTTGAACTTGTTATCAGTATAAAAGACACCTGTCCACAACCTCAAACAGTCACACTCCAAACTCCACTATGGTGAAGACCAAAGAGCTGTCGAAGGACACCAGAAACAAAATTGTAGACCTGCACTAGGCTGGGAAGACTGAATCTGCAATAGGCAAGCAGCTTGGTGTGAACAAATCAACTGTGGGAGCAATAATTGGAAAATGGAAGACATACAAGACCACTGATAATCTCCCTCGATCTGGGGCTCCACGCAAGATCTCACCCGTGGGGTCAAAATGATCACAAGAACGGTGAGCAAAAATCCAGGACCACACGGGGGGGACCTAGTGAATGACCTGCAGAGAGCTGGGACCAACGTAACAAAGGCTACCATCAGTAACACACTACACCGCCAGGGACTCAGATCCTGCAGTGCCAGACATGTCCCCCTGCTTAAGGCAGTACATGTCCGGGCCCGTCTGAAGTTTGCTAGAGAGCATTTGGATGATCCAGAAGAGGATTGGGAGAATGTCATATGGTCAGATGAAACCAAAATAGAACTGTTTGGTAGAAACACAACTCATCGTGTTTGCAGGAGAGAGAATGCTGAGCTGCATCCAAAGAACACCATACCTACTGTGAAGCATGGGGGTGGCAACATCATGCTTTGGGGCTGTTTCTCCGCAAAGGGACCAGGACGACTGATCCATGTACAGGACAGAATGAATGGGGCCATGTATCGTGAGATTTTGAGGGCAAACCTCCTTCCATCAGCAAGGGCATTGAAGATGAAACGTGGCTGGGTCTTCCAACATGACAATGATCCCAAACATACCGCCCGGGCAACGAAGGAGTGGCTTCGTAAGAAGCATTTCAAGGTCCTGGAGTGGCCTAGCCAGTCTCCAGATCTCAACCCCATAGAAAACCTTTGGAGGGAGTTGAAAGTCCGTGTTGCCCAGCGACAGCCCCAAACATCATCATCTGCTCTAGGAGGAGATCTTCATGGAGGATGGGCCAACATACCAGCAACAGTGTGTGCCAACCTTGTGAAGACTTACAGGAAACGTCTGACCTCTGTCATTGCCAACAAAGGATATATAACAAAGTATTGACATGAACTTTTCATATTCACCAAATACTGATTTACCACCATAATTTGCAAATAAATTCTTTCCATATCAGCCAATGTGATTGTCTGGATTTGTTTTCTCATTTTGTCTCTCATTGTTGAGGTCTCCCTATGATGCCAATTACAGGCCTCTCTCATCTTTGTAAGTGGGAGAACTTGCACAATTGGTGGAGGACTAAATACTTTTTTGCCCCACTGTATGCATACTATACGTACAGAATCTGGAAATGCCCGTGGCGAGTACATGGATATTGCTACATATACTTACCTACTTTATGTTGATTATTCCCTTTAAAATAATATTAAACCCAAAACTGAAAATGTTAAATATTGCAGTTTACCAATCTTGAGATGCGGTGGCTGCATTAGTTTTTTCATATTAGGTTTTTCCCCCTCTGTTTTCACCTGGTGATCTGACCAATAACACACCTCTTGTATTAGAGTGCGTACCGTCTGGGTAAATGAGCACAGGGACACCTTTGGACAGCAGCATGGTCAGTCTGGGTTGAGGGGGAGTGTTAAATGAAGTACCAGATTTAGATACACTAACAAATTGAAGTCCATCGCCCACTGCAGTTGCACAAGCATTTATAATAACAGTAATTTCCTTTTGGGATAAAGGTTTTACATAAATAAATGATCATTGTTAGCACCCCTGTCAGTGTTAAAATGTCTTGTCTAAGCCCTCTAACTGCTTCATCTGCAGAACAGCTTGTTCTTTTGAAAAATAAACAGACTTACTGACTGTATCACCAGAAGGAAAAAATAAAGGAAAGAAAGCCTAAAAAACAAAACTAATGCAGCCATCACATCTAAGAATTGGTAAGCTGCAATATAATAAATGTTTACTTTTAGGGTTTAATATCACTTTGATGTTACTGTATATAGACAATGATATTCTTTTGGAAACTTCAACAATTTCATCTCCATCAGGATCTAATTATTTAGCTCTGGATACGGTGGGAACAGGTTTTGACTTTTTGCGGGATTTTTTTAGAAAAATTAGGATGGCCATACAAAGCTTGAAATTTAATTTGAATCAGCAAAATTTGCTCTGTTGGTGAGCTCATTGGCACCATCAAGTTTGACAAAACTCATGGAAGAATGGAAAGAGGTGAGTGGAAAACTGTCACCGAAACAAAGCAGGAACACTACAATGCAGGAAGAAATGATCTGGGAGACATCAAAGTTGGTCATACTTCCTAGATCACTTTGCTTTTCTAAATGTAGGAGAGCCAATGAGGATGAGGCTTTAGTATATTCAATTAAATTCATTTTAATTAAACTTAGAAATAGTTAGTTTGTAGAGCACAGTCAGTAAAACATGATGCAGGTTTCCTATTAAATAAATGCATTTCCCCTTACTTCTTTAACCATTTTGCCGCCCACCCTATGGCCGAATGCGGCCGGCAAATGTCATCAGCGTTCCGGGTGGACGCCATATGGCGTCCTCCCGCACATGCGCAGATTGCGCTCCTGCGGAGCTGCGCAGTGGTGCTATCTGTCACCGGCCGTGTACCTCGGACACGGCCGATGACAGATCTGAGTATCGGCCCCCGTTGCTGGTGACCATGTGACCTGTCGTGACCAATCACAGCAGGTCACATGACAGTTGTATACAATGGATGGCTTCATTCATGCCATCCATTGTATACTACTGCCTAGCTGTGAATGGTCACAGCTAATCACATGCACATGTCATGTGATTAGCTGTGGCCAAATCACAGCTAAGCACAAAAAAAAAAAAAAACCCTGAATGAATCGATGTCATTCAGGTAAATGCTTGCTTATAGCAAAGTAAATTCTTTGCTAATAAGCAAATTGTGTAAAAAAAAAAAAAAATACTGATCACATCCCCAAAGTAGTACAATGTTACTATGGTAACATTGTATTACTTTGGTTCATAGTGAAAAGTTATGGCTAAAAAATTCTTAAAAAAAAAAAAATATATATATAGTAATATATATATTTTTTTGTTTTCCATACAGTATCACCAGTCAAGTGTCCTCTGATCACGCGCCATGGGCCAGTTATATGATGACGCTGTAAAATTCAAAAAACTCGCCATTCCTCTTATGAATACGTCGAAATGTCTACTCTGCAAAAAGGGGTCATTTTGGGGGGTAATCCTGTACTGTCCCGACATTTGGGGGATATCTGTACTGTTCCCGACATTGGGGATATCTGTACTGTCTGACATTTGGGGGATATCTGTACTGTCCTGACATTTGGGGGATATCTGTCTGTCCTGACATTTGGGGGGGATATCTGTCTGTCCTGACATTTGGGGGATATCTGTACTGTTCTGACATTTGGGGGATATCTGTACCTGCCTGACAAATTTTGGGGGGTATCTGTACTGTTCCCGACATTTGGGGGGATATCTGTACTGTTCCCGACATTTTTGGGGGATATCTGTACTGTTCTGACATTTGGGGATATCGTCCCGTTCTGACATTTGGGGGGATACTGTACCGTCCTGACATGTGGGGGATTCGTACTGTCCTGAAATTTGGGGGGTACTGTACGTTTCTGACAA